TTGCTAAATACCATCGAGTCGGTTCCGACCCATAGCGACCCTGTGTAGGGTTTCCGAGGAGCAGCTGGTGAGCTTGAACTACCGACCTTGTGGTTTGAACTGACTGCAGTCCAGCATATTAACCCACAGCCCCACACCAGGACTTCCTTCATGAATATGACTAGAAATTGGGTCATTGAGGTGGTGGGAAAGTTTACTAGAGGTAAGATAATCAGGTGAGAAAGGCCAAAGTATTGGATTTTTTGTCTACAAAAATGTTGAAGTCACCTAGAATGATAACAAGATAAAACCAAAGTCTAGTTTGGTTTAGCTAGTAAAATATGTCTGCCTTGAGCATTGTGGTCTTTTAAAGTCTATCTGTATGGGATTGGGAGTCCTGGTGTGGCACTGTGGGCTAATGCGTCAGACTGCCAAGTTATTTGAACTGCAACGTCGGTGGTTCAAGTTCACCAGCTGCTCCTTGGAAACCCTATACAGGGTCTCTATGGGTCGGAATTGACTCGATGGCATTTAACAGCACTTAATAACAATAACATATGCGATTAGATCTGCAAGGCCAACGGTTCAAGCTAACCAGGAAACCCTAACAGGGTCACTATGAGTCAGAACCAACTTGACGGCACTTAACACTAACAATATATGGGATTAAATCAGCAAAAGCAACTCAAAAGATTAGATAGGAAACTTTGGAGGGCAGTGAGTGTATGATAATGGGAGAGGAACACTCTGGCGAAGAAGAATGAGAATGTTGCATGACTTGAAAAATGTAATCAGCATCACTCAATTGTAGAAATAATCAAGTTGGTATGTGTTCTGCTGTGTATATTCTCAACAACAAAACTAAAACAAATTATCTAAAAAAGAAAGAAAGAACTTCCTACTCTCTGTTGCCAACCTAGTTTTTCTCAGAATTGCTCCACACATTCCAAACATTTTCTGTGGACCACACACATGGACCAGAGCCATTATTCAGTATGTGAACCCTTTCTATTGGTCTCTTTCTATCCATATTCCAAAGGACCTAACTTCAGGGATGCCCAAGCTCTGTGAAGATAAGGATTTCTTTCTAATGTGGCCAAGTTTAGTGAATCCTTACTTGACTCTAGTTGTTCTCTTTATATATGATAATGGAGAAAACTCAACATGAAAAAACAAACTACCATGAATTCAATTTTTTTTTAAAAAAAGAGTAGGAGTAGGAAGGAAGAGAACAATCTGGATGATAAAAAGAATGAATGCAAACATCTCTCAAGAAGATGCCCTTGGGGCTTGATTGAACTTGATAGCTTTTGAAGAGTCTTGGCAGAAACGTCTAGCAACAAATCTATAAAACCACTCCTAGCTTC